AAATATCTTTGAACTGGAAAATACTTTCCTTATCCTATGAATGTACTCATTTAACTAAAGCCTCCTTGATTATTAATTACTTGTCAGCTCTTTCTCATCTGGGCTGGGTCTCCTGTTTTGAAAATGCTGCAAAAATATATTTTTTTTCTCTTCTTTCTTCTTCTTCTCTTCTCACTTCTTCCTCTAGGACTTCCATGATCAGAGCCAAAAACTAATCCTGTGGTTAGCAAGTGCCGAAGGCCGAAGGAATGAGGCACAGATCACAGATCCAAATGCTGACCCGCATACAGTACTGGAAAGCCAGAAAGAGTTATTGGTAAGTAGAGACTATAGCACTTCTTCCAGTGAGTCAGTAGCTCTCACCACAAAAGGAGTAGCATTATGCTCATTTCATAAGCAGCTGTAACAGCAGTTCCCGTGTACTGCGCTTGGACAGGCAGGTTGAGTTGTTCTTCAAAGCTTCCTAAAGCTCATCTACTTATGGGAGCATCCATCAAGATGAAAGTAACAGCTTGTTGCACTGTTTTTTGTTTGTTTCTTCTAAGCAACTGGAGAAAGAGCTGCTGGAACAGCAGCTTAAAGTAAACTGTCTTCAAGAACTCTCTGCTTACCTGCTGCTTAAATCTGATGGCGAAGATTACATTGAAGCTGATGAGAAGGTCCATGTGATTGGAAAGAAACTGAAACAGCTTCTTGAGCAAGTTTCACGTGACTTGAAATCAGTACAAGGATGTCTGGTGAGTCAGTTTAAATACTTGTTCAGCAGTCTTTTTTATTTATGAATGATAACGTTCATTTCAATTCAGTTTTTTATAAATACTTTTCAGTAATTCTACCTTCAGAAGCTAAGAGCAGTCTTGATGTAAGTAAAAATTTTAGCACAAGACTAGTTGGTTATTGAAATAGATGGCCCTGTGAGGTTGTGCAGTTTCTATCCCTGATGGGTTTCAAAGCAAACAGGAGAAAGCCTTTAATAACCCAGTCTGATCTCATGGCTGACCCTGCTCTGAACAAGAGATTCAACTAGATAAACTTCCTGAGGTCCCTTCTAACCTAATTTATCCTATGAGCTTCACCAAGTATCAGACTAGGAGTGTGTAATGAACTCACAGAAGTTAGTACTCAGCAGAAATATGCTGCTTATCAGTGAGAACTATCAGATAGAGAAGTTTTCGAGTTAATACCTGCACGTGTTTGTTCCTTAGCAGTGCTTTCTGGTTGAGCATAGCAGGTAACATTTTGTTATGCTAGAGAACCAGAGCATCTCTTTACTGCTGGTTGTACTAAAGAAGGTGTGCAACTGTAGAGAAACAATGGAAGATGATTCTGAACTCCCTCTGTTTTGAATTTTGATGATGCATTTTAAAGAGGGCCATGTGGTTACCTTTTAGGATAGCAGAGTATTCCTGCCAGTTCCAGATGACTTGGGCTCAGAAGTCTATCATCCAGTTGCAGTGAAATCCAGCCCTCCTGTGAAGAAGGCTAGTATTTTTTTATGTATTTGTTTATTTAAAATACTTCACTGTCAGCGTATGTGTGTGTGTGATTAGCTTGAAGGTTCCTCAGATGAAGTCATTTTACCTTTTAGATGTGTATACCTTATTACAGAACTTACAGCAGGACTGAAAGCCTACAACTGCCTTCTTTAAGAAAGAAATTCCTTGCTATAGTTTATGAATTCTGGTTAATAGATACTACTTCTTTCAACAGATCACAATAAGGAGAACTTCAGATGGCAGAAAAAACAGCAACACAAGGTATGAATTTGTATTAACCCGAGTGGTAAGGCAGCTGTTCCTCTTGAGTAAGCTAACACAGAAGAAGATGAAGCTTCTCAGCTTCTGCACTGCTGTGCAGTCTGAGCTTGTCTTCCCTCTTGAGAAGATCTTTTTAAGCCAAATGGGGGAATATTTGCTTTTTAAGTAAGTCACCAACAACCTTGTACAAAGCAACTTGCACCTTAGAGGCATTTAGTGAAAACAGACCATGAAGGAAGAAATGTCACCTCCATTATGGTAGGGTCTGTTAAAAAGATTGATTGTGGTGACACAGGCAAAATAGAGTCTTCTCAGGCTGGAGCAGTGACTTTCCATGGTCCATTTCCAAGTACTTGGAGTGGCTTGTTTGACTGCAGGGAAAACATGCATTTGCAACCCAAAAAATACATTTAAAACCCACTGATCTGAGCTATTTTAAATAAACATTTCTTTTCCAGAAGTATAAAAAAGAAATATAAGGCTAATGTAGTGGCTGGCTTCCTCCAGAGCAGTCTTGCATGCTTTGAAGCTACACTTAAAGCGTTCCTGTGCAGCGCAGCCCTGTACCCTGGAAGGTACAGGGTATGAACCCCCGAGAGGCAGTTAAAATAACTTCTTAATTCAAACTCTGAAGTGCTGTTTCTGTGTGTGTGTGCATCTTCTTTTCAGAGCTGAAAGCCACGCACAACCGACTCACGTGGTCCCTCGGTCCCCCTCCTTCTTTTACCGTGTGTTACGAGCAGCTTTACCCCTCCAGTTGTTCTTTCTACTGCTTCTTCTCCTGGCATGCATGATTCCATCTTCTGAGGAGGACTACAGCTGCACCCAGGCAAACAACTTCGCCCGTTCTTTCTATCCTATGCTGCGATACACCAACGGGCCTCCACCGACATAGGAAGAAGCCCAGGGATCTCCATTATACCAAAACACACTCTTTGCGGTGCTTATTTTTATGCTGCTGGCATCAGTGAAATGGTGATATCACATAGTTAAATACAGAAACCTGTATGCTGTGTTAGTTCCCTAAACAGGCCACTACAGCCCCCTCCCATCCTACACGCCGCTGCCCAAGCCTGTGCTGCAGCTCAATAAAGCCTCACATTTTAGCATTCTCCGGTGGATGGGAATGTGTTAAATTTCACATCTCAAAGTGTATATCTTGAGAAAGTTTCAGCATTTTTGTATGGAAAATGAACTTTTTCTATAGATTTTTAAACCTTAAGCAACACACTTTATACTTTGATGCAATAGAACACTATTTTGTAGCTGCAGTGCACTTAAGCTTGCAAGGTGATCGAATACTGAGTTATTAGATGCAGAAACTACTTCACAGTAATCTCAAACGCAGCAGTTGGTCTCGGGTTGGCGCAATGAACAAGCAGTTGAAGAGGCACTTTGCCTAAACCGATTACTGCACACACTTCACATGACTGTATCTTTTGGTACTGTGATCACTGGGTGGAAATAGAAATCTGCATCTTTCTGAATCTTTGTTACTGTGTTTTATTCATCTGACACATTCAATAAAAGGATGCACATTTGTTTTGTTTTACATGTAATTTTCTAGTGGTTAGGACTGCTGTGTTGTCTTTTTGTACCACTTTTGAAATACAGAATTGTTACAGTGCATGGAAATGCTTTATAAATGCACAGATTTTCTAGATGAACACAATTATGTAGACTATCCCTGATGTATGCAAATACTGTAATGACTTTTTTAATGAAAGTTTGTTTTTTTTTCAGATTTTAACCTGCTGAATAGTGTACAGGATCTGGGGAGAGAATTGTGCATTTTCTTTTTATATATAAACTCGCTGTAAGATTCTCCACCTTAAACGTGAAATTGACAGTGTTGGCAATGGCTTGAGAAACATTGTGTACAGTCAGCTTCACCATTGCTTCTCGGTTGTACAGTTTGAGTACTCATTAAAATTCTGCCACTGTCTGCAGGGAGTAGCGGTGTGTGTGGCGCGGGGCAAGCAGCGGTGTGTTCCAGCAGTGCTGACCCTTCCACACCCTGATAAGTCCACATATTTGCATGCTCATGCAGCCGTGTCAAAAGCTGCGTTACCGCTCTCTTGCTCGTCAGGGCAAGAGAAGAAAAATTCCAAACTGGAATCTATTTGAGTTTCACAGCTCTATAGTACCAGGAGGTAGGAATGGGCCCTCTTCCCCCCACCTCTCCTTCCTTCACTTCCTCCACTCTCATCATTTTATGTTTTGAAAGCAATTACTTTCAGATGGAGCTCATTTCAGTTTCTGGCTCTGCAGAAGTCAGCCAACTCTAGCCATTATTTCATTGCCGGGTTGTCACAAATGCCCATGCAAACCTTTCTGCCGAGGACTAATAGTCACTTGCTGACATGATATTCAGTTCTGCTGCCATTAAGCAACTTAAGCAGGGATAAAAATTGGAACAATGCTAAAAGGTCAAAGGAGAATTTCATAGCCTGCAATTTCCTTATTATATACAGTTACATCAAATTGGCAAGCTGAGGTAATGTATAATATGAGGAGCTTTTATGAAATTATCTCAAAATGTAGCAAAAAAATAAATTCTGGGAAATTAAATGTTTTTCCCCCAGTCCTATTTTCAATAGTTTTACCTCGGTTGATTATAACTGCCATATCTAGGTTGACTCTAATGTCTGCTTCAGACAAGTCATTATATATATATATCCACCCAGCTCCTACTGTCATCCTCACTCAGGCACTCAGGCTGGAGTTGCTCAATGAAGAGGGGAAAAAAAAGAAAGAGGGCAGGAGCAATAGGGAGAGCAAGTGCACACGTGCAAAGGCATTGTACAAAGGAGTGAAACGCCTCCACCTGGCTTTGGGTTGAAGTCATCTTTGTGAGGGAGATGAGATCCATCTGATCTCAGCTGTACCTCCTTCCTAAATCACAGAATCGTGAGAGTTGGAAGGGACCCTGAGGTATCTAGCCCAACTCCCCATAATTAGTCAGTGAACAAACAGTCCTCCACTTTCTGCTTTCAGAACTGTTACAAATTGGCACCCTTACAGTTAAATTCAAATTTAAATGCCTGAAACCTACGGAGCCACTTGGAGCTGTGAAACTTCCTAAGAAGTCCCATACCTGACAAATCCACCTACAGCATACAAAGAAGTGTGAAGGTCAGGATGAGACACTTACTTACCCACAGACACTGATTCCACACATCATAGGCTCCAGAAAGCAGACTGAGATCAGCTACAAGAAAGAAATGAGCAAAACCCCACATATTTAGGTTTCGTGATACCCGTTTATTCAGCCACAACAGTCCACAACTTAACAATGCGTGCATCACTGGCAAAATACCTTAAATTCACAGAACTAAATAGCTGAGAGACAGGACGAAGGTTGATTTGTTTGTTTTTCCCATCCATATTACAGACATAAAACAAAAGGTTCCAACTTCACTCCTAACAGTTTCCACTCCAGACTTGTGGTGAGGACAAACTACTGAAACTAACACCATGTAGGAAGCAGGACTCAGAAAATTCTACGGCAGTAGACATAAGAAATGTGCAGAAACAACTGTTCATGGATATGGTATCTCTTCACTACACAGCACTGTGACGAGTAAAGAAAGATCTGTTCAAGCAGCAGCAGAAGCTGGCATTTTATACCACTGCAGTCTGCTTTTAATGCACTTACATAGAAATCACTGACACTCAACAAAGCGTTAGTGTAGGTGACCTCTGTGCTAAAAGAAGGGAACAAGTTATAAAATACCCATATCATCAATAAAATGAAGCTTTTGCTATGAAACATACTAGGCCTTTTAACTCACCATTTCAGTTCAGTAGTAAAACGCCAACAATAATAATTTACAATACATTTTAGCAATCCACTTGCTTTCCGTACTCCCATTTACAAAGCTATCCTTAGTGTTAGTTTAGGCACTGGGTCAGCACAATATACGACTGCATCCTTAACTTTGCCAAGTTATAATCTTGCAGGACATAATAATGTCCAACACTTTCTTCTTAGAAGAATGGTGACAACAGCCAAGGCATGTCCATGACTCCTGTCCCTGGCTGTGCTGGCTTACAGCAGCCAAGCTCAGCTATTCTGCCATCCAGAGAACTGGCCAGAAGATCAAAATTCAACCTTAAAAACCATTAATTCCTGTGACAGGACATCAGACTGTACTCAGTTTAAGGCATCTCAAATGAAGCCGTGCACATCCATACCTTGCTTTAATCATCAGCTGTCAAGGTACAAGCAACGTGTTTGCCATGGGCAGTTTTTTTATCTTCGTGGGAAGAACTGAGCTATCTGTCTTGCTTTCCTGCATAGGAGCACCCACTCTATCAGGCACTGTCTCAGGGGAGGATTTTCCCTCTCATCTTCTCCCCTCTGGCAGCACCAAATGTAATTTGCAAAAACAGAGCTCTGGAAAAGGTGTAGCATTCCTGGAGATGAATCATACATGACACCCTCATCACAGCTCCCAGAACTGCAGCACAATTCAGGCAAAAACAACCACCTCTGGCCCAGTCCTGCTCTGTGGCAGATGCTGATGTGCAGCAGGGAAGGGATGCTGCAGAGCAGCCGCATTCTCACCTCCTGATGGGCCTCTGTAGCTCCTCAGCTCCGTTCTTTCCTGCTGGACATGGAGATGCTCCCTGTACAGGAGCTGAAATGCACCGACAGCTCTGCTCAGGCCTGGGTTGAACACGGATGTTCTCCTCACCTGGGCTGCAGTACATGAGAAGATCTGTGGGATACAGACCCACGGTTAACACAGCATCTTACTCAGGAGTCAGCGTTCATTGCCTTATCACAAGGTCCTTGTTTATCAGCTGTGCCGTGCACCTCCCTCTTTACCCACACACACATGAACATCAATCCACAGATGTGACAGCTATCAGGTTTTGCCCATTTTAAAACACTGGTAGTAGCTTTTAATAAAACAATGCTTAACGAAACAAAATCTGTTGAAATCACATCCTGTTCCCTTTTAGACTGTGAGTAGAAACGTGTGAATCACAGCGTGGCACAAATCTGCAGCACCACCCTTCTGCATCAATCCAGAGTAAATTGGCATTTAGACATTTGTTGTATGACTGATACCCACTCTTTCCCAGTTTCCCAGACATTTGCTTCAGGAGTGCACATAAACTCGGCGCTTTTATAGCAAAACAAAAAATAGCACTTCAATGTTTCTTTGAAAAATTGTATTAAACAAAACAAATACACAGGAAAAGGAAAATCAGAGAAAGAACACTACAAAGCGGGAAGGCTGGGAGGTGATGGCAGCCAAAGATATCTTCTCACAGCAAAACTTCCCTCAAAATGAGTAAGGAGCCAACGAATTCAAGACTGTACTCACATTTTTTTCTTTTTTCCTTTTTTTTTTTTTTTTTTTTTTTTTTTATAGTAAACATTAAATATTTTAGCAGAGCACTGCTATATTACATTTCTTATAAACAATAGAAAGGTAGCCAGTAAAAATTGAGACAGCAGCAGCATCTGGTATAGTACAAGATCAAAAACAGGACAAGAAATCTGTGCAACTCACTGACAATGCTTGATGCCCCTCCTATAAAAAATACTGTCCCGGGCTTCAAAAAACACCAGGATCAAGGGTCTGCAAGATACTCAAAGCATGCAAAGGGGGAACAGCGCAAAGTCCCTCATCCAAAAGACTTAGGCTCCAAATGGACTTTTGGGGTAGTCTCAGTTTAATGTCACCACACCCGCAATGCCAAAACCATGCATGTATTATAGTAAAACACTTCCACTGATAGCAACTGCAATCGTAGCTCACATCAAAATGCAATACTGGCAGTGACTGGAACAAATGGTGCCATTCTGCTCTTCGCTGAGGTGGTCAGATGAGCTATTTCCCTTCTTTATTTTCCTTAGCAGGTCTTAAACACATGCAGAAGGCAGCACACAGGGAGGCCTCAGCCTGCATCCCAAGTGACATTCAATTCAAACAAGCCATCGCACCTGTCAAACAAACTTCTGAAGGATCCTGCACAAAATATGGAACAGCTTCAGGTCTCACGTGCTTGGAGAACCAACAAGCAGCAAACCTGAGGGCAGCAGCCCAGCTCAGCCTCCCATTCCCCACCCCTACGGTTGGGGCGGGCAGAACTCAGATGCACAGGCAGCCAAAAAAGGGGAGGGAATGCAGGCGTTTCCCCACTGATCTCACAAGCCCCGGTTGGCAGAGCACATATGAACGCACACAATGTTCACACAGCAACCTTTTGTACCTAAATGTTATAATAGATTTAACACCGTTAATAAATATATAAAACAACATCGTCATGTCACAGACAGAACACATTTCAAAAGTCAGCACTGACTGAAAGAAGGGGGCAGTTTTGTGCTGCTTTAAAGCACTGAAGAATTGTACACAGGTAATAACACGGGTGTTAAGAACTTGCTCACAGAATGCAAATGTAAGCTTGGTCTCACATTTCTGAAGAGGCTCCGAACTAGCCCAAGATGTTATTCAGAATGGCCCTCAAATGAGGGCCCATGCAGCCATTGCATATTTAAGAACAAAGGAAACTCCTCTCCACTGTGCACATCACCTGCAAAGCAGCGTTGCCCAGTGCCCAGCACACACAGGTAAGCAGATTTGTGCCAAATACTGCTGCTGTATATTTCATACCACCTCACACCGAAAAAGATCAGTTAGTGCTTAAAAGGATTGGGCTGGGACACAGAGAGTGAGGCCCTGACCCCTGGCCCCCACACAGACCTCTGTCATCTCAACCCGGTCATCTTTTTGTCTCAGTTGCTTTTAAAAAGGAGAGGCAATAATTCCCCGTCTCGCAGGACTGTTCTGAGGCTTAATTTCGTAAGGTGCTTTTAAGAGTCTCACAGAAGGCACTATAAAAGTGCAGCCATTATAATGTCAGAAACAGACAGAGGTGTGCGCCTCGCAATCTTTTCCCGAGATATCCCATTGCGAATCTACAAGAGATGAGGACTGGCACTAGGTCACGCTCCAGCAGTCCCATCACAGCAGCTTAGTTTTCTCCCATAACTTTCAGCAAATGGAGGCTAGGGACAGCCTGCATATTTGCAGTATATTTGCCTGCATAATGGGGCAGCCCCGTACTTCTGTTCAGACCTGGAAATGTGAAACTTATTCAAACTCAGGATGTGTGACTGGGGACTTCCTTTGCCCTCGGAGTGTGTGCGCGTTCAACATCTCCAGCAGCAAGTCATACACTGGGACCACATTTTTGCACTTCATGCTCAGCAGATGCTCCATGCCCTTGTTACTGTGAAGAAAAACAGACGACAAAGTCAGTGATACGTATGACCAGCACAGAGAAGGAAAACACAATCACGGCTTCAAGAGTTCCTTTTTTATGAGTTAAGAGATGTAACTGCTGCAGACGGTGGGATCACATACTGCTAGCAGCAACAACAACATCCTAATGCTCTAAGGCTACAATCCACCATCTAGAGAACAAAGATTCGTGCTTTCCAACACAAACTGTCTTCAGAAAATGATTCAGATGTATCATTCCCATTGAGATGAAAGAGAAAGCTTCTTTGGTGCCATAAACGTGGGAGACCCATGTGCTGCAGCTGTAAACAAAAGGGGAATTCACATCACGCAGCTCTACGAACCACCTACTTCTCCCAGCTGGCTGAGCAGAAATACCATATGATATTGGCCAACTTCAAGCAGTTTGCTTCCTCTCTGCTTGTCCAACGTTAGATCTTGCAGATAACTACAGGCTTTAAGAATCCTCCTTTTTTGGTCACACAGCAAGGTACGGTGACATTTTGCTGACTTGAAATCTCTGTAGCTGTATCACTATTTGGATTGACAGGGATGGCTATTGCTGAAGTACAGCAGTTGTACACACACACACACACACACACACACGCATCAAGGTACACTCAGAGAGTTTTAGGGCTGAAAACCAAGTGCACTTTCTCAACACCAAATTAATCACAGTGGAAACAGCAGCAACCAGCCAGCACACAGCTGAACTACTGGATTGGTCTGGGAAGGAGGCAGTGCATCCCAAAAAATGATGTTCTGCTGCAGCTCAAGAGCTAAAAGCCTAACAAAGGCCAAGAGCAAAGACCCCCTCCTACCCCTCCTGTCCTCCTTCAGCACTTGAAGGTCTTGCATAACCATGCAAGACAGGTGAACAGTTGATCTCTGGGTAATAATTCAAGATGACAGAGACCGAAAATTAAAGCATCTATTTGCAGCACCTTGCATTTGAGACCACTGTACTGCAAGCAGAGATGAGAAACCTAAGGTGGTCTGGGAGCTGGCAAGGAGCAGAAGAGCTGCTTCACATGAGGAAAGCCATCGTTGCAGTGCACGGCAAAATGCTAGGGTTCTGAGTAAAAGGACCAGTTGTGGCTCCCAGGATGCACAAAATATTTGGCCTGACAAGCACAGAGTTCAAACCATACCTCGTTCCTCCAAAATCCATGCTGCAGATCAGCTCTGAAAGGGACTTCTGAACAGAAGAGTTTTGATGGCTGGGTGTCATGTTTCTTTTATTATTACTATTTATTTTTATTTTGTCAAAGGGCTGAATTTGTGTTATTGTTGCTAAACGTTTCAGGAGAGTACGTAGGAATGCTTTAATGCAGTACAGTTCAGAGAGCATTTTAATATTAACACAACACGTTGAGTGCCAGCCAATACCTGATCACATTGCCTAGTTAGCCATGCTAGGAAGGACAGTCTTACAAAAAGAGAGATGAAGAGGGTCCTTCAGGGGCACTGTGGAGTTCTAGACTGACTCTGTCACTGTAAGAAGCAAACACAACAGCTGGCATATCCCTCACGTTCTGTAAGATTTACCTTGCATGTCTGACGTGGGAGAGCAGCATCAACAGATTTGCCAGGCGAGTTGTCTGCTGCTGGGAGGGGATTCCGCTCTTTGCAATAACCCACACCAGAGCATCTGTGACCACATTGAGCAGGTGGTGCAGTTTCCTGTTGCTTTCGGGTTCTTCTGCTGACAAGGGAAACATGCCTACCAGAGGAGACAAAGAAATCCTGCTTGTGAGGCACAAAAAACTATGACTTTGGATTGTCTTCCAATGCAATAATTCACAGGATAAGAAAAGATGTATTTCCTGACACACATTCACACACCCCAACACAATACAAACAGTGCTGCATGTAACATGCCAAGCTTCAGCTTGTATTTCTTCATCCAAATGGGATTTCTACATCGATTGCATAGTGATTAACTCTCCCAAATCCTCCCAAGACAACACATTGAACACAGGCTCTTCAGTCAGACTGAGCTCTCAGTCTGTGGGGAAGCAGACGTGCTTTCCATTCTCCACGGTTTTTTCCTTTGAATCACATTGCACCACGCCGTTTAGCTTCTATCATGCTGGAAGAACAAAAAAACCACCTTTCTTCTCCAAGTAAATCCAAGAGAGGAGGAGAGTGGCTGTTCTTACTGACTGCTGTAGGCTCCCAGCAGCTCACCATGGTGCCACAGGACAGCGCCTGCCTACTGTGAGACACCTCAGAAGTCAGCAAAAGCAGAAGAAAGGGGAGTGGGGTGGAGAAAGAATAAATTGCCACGAGGAAAGTCTGGAAACACTCACTGGTATTTCTTGATAGAGAATCCCAAAGATGCCTACGGATGGAGAGAGCTCCTGAACACCTTGAACACCAGAAGTAACAGATTAACCTTGCTAAGGAAGGAGAGCCAAGAGAGGAGAAGTGTTGTTTTTTTTTTTGAGAGGTGAAGCTTTTAAAAAAAAGCCACGGCTAATGAGCACTTTTTTCTCCCTTTGGCTAAATAAAAATAAATGGAAGATCTCTGTTGTCAGCTGAAGTAATGGAATCTGTTCTACAAACAAGTCAGAAAACAGCTGGACTATTCCCTTTCGGAAACAGTGTTGAGAGTTACACAAAAGCTTCATGCTGAAAACAGAAGATGTAGATAGTATCATCATTCTATATACAGATGGCTTTCAGTTGGTTTCTTTGTTGCTGTTGTTGTTTTCCTTTTGACCTTACAAAATGTTCTGGGGAATAAAAGGATTTTACCGCAGGCTGTAGAAGGCTGCAAAGCAAACTTTCTGTCCTCACATTCATCTTGCAGAACTGTTGAACTCTTTCTAGCATTTGTACTAATTATCATTAAATAGAAATATTTCAGCACAATTGATCACCACTCAGTTGAGTAAATAATTTTACTAGTATGAAGGACAGGCTTGTATAGGCATAAAGAAGTATAACCCATGACCAGGATCCACGGAGCTCTGAGCTCATGCAGTTATCTGGAACAATATGGCTTAGAAGTTTCTCTAGCAAAAACCCTTATGATTTGATGAGGTCCCTTTCCAGCGCTCCCTTTGAATTACGCTTTATCTCATTTGATATTTCTGTCCTTTTTAGACACTAATTTCCCAGCTGCAGTTGAAATAAGTATAATTTGGTGAGTGTCAGAGGCAGTTGTGTACTCACTGGAATTGAGGAGGATCATTGCCTTGACACACAGATACTCCTTGTGCTGCAGTTTCAGCTCTCGGAACCTCGAGGTCATGGCCAGGAGCATATCAAAGATTTCCAAAATTCCCTCTACGCATTTCCCCTCGTCCCTATGGAAACATTTAAAATGTTACCAAAAAAGTAGAATTAAGGAACTCTGACTCAGCCAGATAAAAGCCATAGTGCAAAGAATGCTGCAAGAAGCCTATCTGTCTCGTCTGTGGGAGCATTCAAAAGGTTATATCAAGAAATATGAATGGAAAATTACAATGGCATAAAAGGTCACTACCTCTAAGAAACTAATTTTCTCTGTAAGGTGCTTAAAGTGCTTACAGCATTGACCACAGGTAAGTGCAACCACATTTCTGTAAAGAGGCTTTAACTTCACAACCAACAAAATTTGTGATAATCAGCTTTAAACTACGTACTACAGGGCAGAGCTCACCATCACCTTGAGTCATTTTCCAGATTTGGTTCACGAGGAATTGATGCCACAACCTATGACATCCCTGTTTGTACCTGACAAACATTTAAAGAATTAATAATTAAGCCCCACAAAAGTAAGTTTCTTGGAGCAGTAAAATAACTCCTACGACCCTCCAAACCATCTTTTGCTTGTTGAAGATGTTCACGTTTGAATAGCTTTTGATTTTTTCTGGCTGGTTTCATTTGTTTGTTTATGGTTGCAAGTGAATGGTGATTGTAACCTCCAGTTTGGATATTAGAAACAGTACTGTTTCCAGTTCTGAGGATGAACTGAAAAAATACATATACCTTAAGCCATTTCAATTGGCTTAAAATGAATCAGAAGTAATTTGAAACCACTTAAATTAGTGCTTCAGATTTTTTTTTTAAGCGTACTGGAATTACAAAGCAGTAAAGCTCTATGATGCTCTATTCAAAGGGATGCCCCTGCACCACCTGTAAGCCACGAGTTTTGCCTGCAGTGCTGTTAACATGAGGCACACTTAAGGACAGTGGTGCAGGATCACTCCTGGCTCCCAAAGGGAGGTGCTGAGTGCCCAGGCTGAGGCAGGTAACACTACCCAGGAGCTGAAATACAGCCTGCAGAAAGGCAGTTGCTTCGATACTGCCTGGCTTCTCACGTGCCTCTTGGCAAAGGAGAAATTCAAGCTTTGGAGGAGGACCGGCAGCTGCCAGCGTCAAGACAAAGGCATGAGCATCAGAGATGTACATCTACAAAGGGTAGATTGTGTGGGTAATGTAGCTAAAGTTCACATGAGTATATCTTAAAAGTAATACAGGATGCCCAGACGCTTGCTAGCTCCCACTCCATTAAGTCCTGTGGAGATGAAGGAAGCCAGCTCTTTTTGGCTCATATTAGCTCTCGAGGAACTGAACATATAGTACATTTTCAGCAATTTCTTATCATTGCAATGAACAATTCAGTGTGTCCTTGCATTGAATTTTATATGAGAAAACTACAATTTACTTCAAATCTTCTGTAATTCAAATTTATTTCTCTTAGTAACCCATTTTCCTTTCTGAATCTATGATGGCGATGATTATTTAGCTCGAGCCCAAATTGGTGCAGATATGAATTTCCCTAGGTTGAAAAGGTTAAGAGAGATTTTACTCCTTGCCAAGAAAGCAGATTCTCTCTTTTTACCAATGTGAAGCCCAAATCAAATTGTTCTAACATGTTATAACATGTCAAATTGTTATAACATGGAAAAACATCCCTACTAATCCATATTCTTCCCCGCTGGTACATAGCTATGGATAAGTAAGTTTTAAGCTTGCAACACTCCACTTAAGCTTGAAGGAAACTTTCAATATTAAACAGCAAGTTACTTTTTAAAATCCCTTTTGGCTAGTGCTACAAAGCTCATCAATGTAGCTATGAAATCTGCACTAGGAACAGGAAAAAAAATCTGAGATAAACTACTTAAAATAAATGGGGAGAAAATCTATTGGCCGATGGAAGCTGTTTGATAAAGGAGCACATTGTGTTGATGTCTACAATTTAACATTTGGAGCCCTGAACACTCAACAGGTGAATTCTCAAGATATAATTGTTAAAATACAAGTGAATGGTACTGTTAAATTAAATGTTCACATCATCTCCAATATTTCACCCACTTCCTTTCTCCATTCATCTCCCTCCAAACACACTAACTGAAGGGCTCTCAAGAAGCTGATTTCTCTTACCTGTCTAGTACAAGGTCCGGGGCAAAAATTAATTTCCCAGGATGGTCGATTGATCTCCACATTAAACCAATCATTAAAACTTCCATCCAGCAGCTCTCCAAGAGCCTGACTTGGTCATAGAGGCTGAGATCAATAAAGCCTAAAATGATGAAAACAGCATCAAATAAATCAACTTGTTTACAACTCTGTTTTTATAAAAATGTATTTAATATACAAAAAAAAAAAAAAAAAAAAAAAGAAAAAAGAAAAAGAAAAAAGAAGAAACATGGGTTGTGAAGAAAGACAGAAAAAGAGGTGTATCAGAAGTGTACTGCTGCCATCTCAAACGGGAACATAAATAGTTGTGATTATCTTTGACACATCTTCCACAAAACATTTAAAATGATAGAACCATAGAATCCTTAGAGTTGGAAGGGACCTCTGAGGGCCATATAGTCCAACCCTCCTGCGACAAACAGTGGCACGACAGCTAAATCAGGTTGCCCAGGGCCTTATCCAGTCTTGCTTGGAAAGTCTTCAGGGAAAATAAATAAATCAGAGCAGTGCTGAAGCACAATTGGCATGTAGGTGAACGTAGACCTGCCTTACATGTGAGCACCTCCCTAGATGACAGCCTCAGAGACTTCTTGAAGGTACCAAGGACCCACTATGGAAATTCACATCTATTAAAGATGTATTGCATTATACTGTGGAGGACTCCTACAAAAACTTCTACAAAAACAGACCATTCTTTTCCCATAACATATAAGGTTGCTGTTTGCAGGGTTGTCTCTTGTTTGGACCTCAGGAGGCAGCCACGTTTCTGGGTTTGTTTGGTACCTATGAAAGAAGCTACATCTCAGTTGCTCTGTGTTACCACCTTATTGGTAAATGCCATGTGTTGACTGATAAAAAAAAAATAAAAAAGGAAGACAAGGGTAGTTGATGATGGTAGTGATGTCTGCATTGCCTTCATACGTGGCACCCCAGAAGCAAGAACAGAATTGACGCAATAGGGCATAAGCCCTTTTCTAGCATTTAGTTATCTCTAGAACTTCCAGCAAGCGCCAGATAATATGGCAACACAGCCAGAAGAGAGAAGTTGTTGTTGCTTGCCCCTTCCTCTGCAATAACATTCAAAGCCTTAGAGAAGGTGTTGAATTCCATGGTTCTCAGGGGTCCCTTCCGACTTGGGATACTCAAGGTTCTATAAACAAAGAAAAATAAGAAATGCACACATAAGGAAAATAGAGAATTAACAACAACAACCACACAGAAAATGGAGAAGTGTCCACCACCAAACGGCAAGCCCAAGAAAAGCAGAGACAATGACTATCAGTTCTGCACTCAGTCTGCACCTCTGTTCTAAATTAAGATCAGGTCAAAGTTTTCAAAGCAGAGACACTTCAGATAAGACTGCTAACAAAGATGCTGAAGCTTTAGATGTGCTGGTAACTGTTGCTCCAAATGGTGAAAAAATCATCACAGGGCTCGGCCATGGGAGATGGGTTTCCTGCAGATCTTTTTGGACAGTTCTCTGACATCTCAAATGTGCGCCACACATTTGCACTGTCATTAAATCTGCTCTCAGTAATTTATATAAACGCTTCATACATTTTCAGCTCATTAAAGTGCTGCCCTGAAAGACAGTCGGTGTCATCCCCAGGTTAACATAAGCTGGGTAATGCAAACTCCCTTGTTGCATCACTGAAAGTGCTGCCTTCACACTGAGAGCTTTACTCCAAGAGGAGCAAACAGGAGCCCATGAGCTGTGCTTTCCCTCACAGATTTCACTGTCAAAGAATTTACTACAGAGCTCACAGCCAATGGCAGATTATCTGCCAGACCCAAACCCTCATAATTTAAAAAGTGCTTTTAGAAAAATACCCATGGAAGTGTGAATAGGATCAACCAACAGGGATGGTTTCCTGGGAAACAACAGCTCAAAGACATTTCAGGGGTTTATTTAAATCAACAGTTACAGAGGCGTGCACTGATTTCTACACCATAAACAACAAGTTATGGGGTTGAAAAACAAACCCCAGTAGAGCTGTCAGACCAAGCCACAGTTTTCAGTGCAAAGGTAATTAGAGATTCAGATGTATCCCAGATGGCACCTGCTAAATACGCATTACCAACAGTATGATTTATGAACATCGAGCGCTGCTGTAAGGACTATTCCTTTCCTCTTTCTAGCAATCGTGCTTAAAGGTTGAGGATGGCACATTAGCATGACAGCTTCTATTGCAGAATCTGAAGTTCCTTCTCATTTGCTGCAGAGTACATTAAATTGCTCATTTTTCTGTGGCTGTAGAAACTGTCCTTTAAATTCTGTGCTCTATAGCTCATCCTTCAATATAAATTACTAGGATATACTGCCCTCATCTTCTTCTGGGTATGCAATAGCTACCCAAAGATATCACTCTGGCCAGCAACTATGTCGCATAATGAATCCAAACTTCAATATCATGACAACGTTCCATCTTTCAGCCATGTGAGTACAGCCATGAGCTCCCTTCAGCTCTGTTAAACTAGGTCAACTGACTCAAAGGCAATTATAGAAGCTACGTTATACCCACCTATAACATTGAATTAAAATCATTGGAAGTCATGAGAAAAAAAAATAACAATCCAGGTGTTGTCTTTTACTTTTATGAGCAACAAAAAAATTCAATCCAACAAGCTGACTCCACACCAAAAATATACTCACAGAGTGAGACTCATAATAATTTTTAATTTTTAATGACCTTCTTTTAAGTAAAGGAAAAAAACAGATTTAGATTTTCTCTTCAGACAAACTCTATCAGAATATAGCACATTTAGCACTAAGATATGAAGAAAAGAATAAAAAGATTTACTTTTACTTAAAGATGGTCATCAAAGCAACATCCATCGACTAATTTAGAAGATAAATATATTAAAAGTATTGTAAAATTAGTGCTCACTGGACCATTAGTCAACAACTATTTTTTATTTCTTTTTGGCATGGATTCTTCAGGGAAGAATTTGCCAACTGAAATCCTATGGGCTGAGCTTCATCACCTTATTTACTTTAAAGGAAGAAATAAATCCACGTTCAAGAAGATGTTGTAAAAGCCACGTTATACTGTGATGTTATTTGTAACTGGGAACGTACTGCATTTCACATCTATTTTGGGCAATTTTCTAAAATAGCATTTATTTCTGTTCTGTGTAACATGGGTGATCACAAAAAACAAACACACGTGATAAAGTGTAAACATTCCCAGAAGCTGTTCTGAAGGACTTTGATCGCCTCAACAGGTTTTCTTCATACAATTCTCTTACTGCCAAGAAAAAGGTTTTACTACTGACATGCATTGAAGACAAGCTAAAAGTAACCAGTGTCAATGGACAAGGCTTAGGACTGCTAGGTGCAATGCAGAACACATCACGTGTGCAAGGTACATGCAGCTGTAGGGCTCACTTCCAGCAGAGCATCGTATATCAAGTTAGAGAATAATCCACATCCGTGGATGCAGTTACATTCAAGGCAACACATGTAATTGTAAGTCAGTGAATGCTCTTTGCATGACCAACAGCCCAAACCATGTTAATTTTTGGTTTGAAGGGAAACACAATAATTCTGAGATCAATACAATGTACCTCTTAATCTGATTCTCTCATGTACCAATTATGTCAGCTGAAGCAGTTGTGGAGACTCGGTTTTTGGCTACAAAGCAATTTTCATCAACTTCAATACAAAGCCTTTATTAGATTTCAAGGAAACCATTTGTGGTTTTTTTTTGTTTGTTTTGTTTTGTTTTTTTCCAATAGCAGTCTACACATTTTAATGAACTTAATCAGATTAACCTGGCATTTAAAGCTGGTGAGATAAAAATAACACGTAACATCAACTATGCTTTTTAGCAACCTGAACAAGTACTTGGCTAACAACAGATATCAAATTATGGGCAAGGCTGTCTTCTGATTCAAAATGCTCCCAAGTGAAGTTCTGAGAGCAACAATTTGTCCATTACTGCTACAGGACATTCTATAAGACACTACACATTTACAGCGCTATGCCACTAAGGCGTCAAATGAAATAGATAAAAAAGAGGTTGAAATTCTTACCAGGAATTTTTTTGGCCCAGCCAATCATGTGAACCAGCTCTTTGTCTGCCAGTTTTGTCAGGGACATCATCATGGAGGCCTCAGTGAATGGCTTGCTAGGACGACTCACCAACACATTGGGAGGCTCAGCTTCAAGCAGAGTTAGAACAAACTGTTCTGGACTGACTGTGCTGAGGAGGATCTCTTTTACACGGGTTGCAGCCTCATTGTACTTCCTGGTTTTGCCCATGCAATCCTCCGAATTACGATGGCGGCGCAGGATTCGATACCCACAGCGTTCTCTTCTTGAGCCTGACACAAGAGGTACACAATTGCACTGAAATACGTTGCACTCGCTGTTGCATTGGACAAAACCACATGTTTGGGGAGGAGGGGAAAAGCCCCTCAGTAGTGGATGTTCTAACATTAAACATCAAGTTTCAGAATTTCTAGAGCTTCGGCATTGACCCAACTTTGCTTCAGAGGAGCCTCCTGAAGAAAAAATAACTGAAAACAATGTTTACTTTTGAGCCTACTTTACAAGTCACTGGGAAAATTCCATTGACATCAAAAAGAGATAAGTCTTTAAATGCAAGTAATGAAAGCTGTTTAATTCTGCTAATAAATTTGCTTTTAAATGTTAATTGGGAAAAAAAATTCTAAAGTATGAGCCATGAATAAATATCTCAGCCAGAAGCACAGCTGGGGCTCGCTGCCAGCTGGGTGCTCAGCTAGGGACCTACTGAAAGGTAACCTGTCTTCTCCATACGTCCACTTAAGCCAGCAGGAGTTTCCCCAAATGAATTAGGGTATCCACAACTAGACAGAGCAAGCCCCTACTTTGGAGTTACACGTGCAGATTACTATTTCTCTTTCACAGAGCAGTCCTCTTACAAAGGCCTTAAATTATCAGAATGATTTGTTACTGTTCGTTAAGACAACATCAAACATTCTCTGCCTATCAGTATTATTGGTGGGATCACTGTAACCTATTCTCGAAGAGCAGCCATGGAAGGAGGCTAAGGGGTTTAAAAACAGTGGGCATTTGATGCAGTGCTCAGCCATGATGTCTGTTTCCCTCACACCTTTTTTATTTATTTACAAATAAAATTATAAATAAATATATAATAATAATAATATGTAAATAAACTTTGGCAGTAACTAATATGCAGGTTTTCATCACATTAAAAAAAAAAAATCAAGTTATTTAAAAATATTAAATTACTAAACAGATTCATAGGCTTGAATCCTCCAGCAGTCAATATTTTCAATGTCAGTGAGAAATTTTCCTCTAAATCTTTCAAAAGACAATTTTTTTGTGCTAGCCAACGCCTTTACTGACATGATATTCGAACACTGAATTTTCATATATACATAGATGCCAGTGGTAGCATAAATCTGTATCAGACCAACATTTATTATTCTATTAGCAGAAACCGTGGAGCCTAAAAGCACAGTAATAGGTTGCCTCATTTTGTTTCAGTCCCATAAAATACACAAAAGCATCCTTTCATGTAGTGCTGCTATCTTGACAATACTACAGCTAATTAAGTCTTTTTGGTGTGCTGTCCAAAGCAACATCATAGCCACAGATGTGGTTCTTCTCTATTATTCTTGATATACTTCATAAAGTACACAAAGAAAAAGGAGTAGATGAATAACAAAGGTGGAAAAACCCCAAAAGTTCCAACCAGCACCCTGACTATCATGGCTATCAAAGAACAATGACCAGCCTGTGGTCTGGAAATGACACCCATCAGATAAGTTAGGAGGAAAAGCTTTTCAGTTCCCTTGTAGTAACCAGAAGTTCCAACCCAACCTCTAGCCATACCAGAGGATCTGTTTGTCACCTACCAGTAGGGCCATGGGTTTGGACCAGTTGCCAGAGACCCATTTGCACGCATGCATATCAGCAAGAGAATTTGTGAAAGAAGAACACAGAAACCAAAGGTCAGGTTCTGATAATACTGATGGATGAGAGAAGGTCTGAGTACCAGACTCCGGTTCCTGTGGCCGAGGGAAGTAGGGGCCAGCTGCCTGACAGAGCGTTAAAACCCAGATACTGGAGGGATACATATTGTATAAAACCATATATGTGCCACTACTTGTATTTGCATAAGTGCTAGATGTGGTGTCTGCCAATTAGCATGGCTGGCTGTGCATATAGGTATTGAGTTTTTGTTAAGGGCAACAGCTGCTCATGTTTGCTGTTAGCAGATGCAGTTATGTTGCAGTTTCCCTCCTATCAAGCTACTGGACTCAGCAATTCTTATTATTCCTCATCCACATCTATCAGTTACATAGAACGTGAGTTGTCTGAATTCTAATGAGGCAATGCAATTCTGGCTCTGAGTTTCATTTAGCAAAGTAAGAGTTCATACATTAGCCAAATTAAAAACAAAAAGAGGTAAAGGCACACACACGCAAAAACCCAATCTCAGATGCTATTGCTAAATTAGATGTTGGGTGAATGCAGACTCTCAGTGGTGGATGTTCCCAGATGATGTAGCTTGTCAGATCACAATCCTGTCTTGTCTTCAGCAGCTGTCAAGCACCATTTGAGTCAACCTGTGAGAAGGACGAGATGTAGAAGCCAGTCAGGTATAACCTGAAGGCATCAAAAGACTGGCTAAGGACTAACAACTCTGCCTTGACTTCACAGGTGTGGAACTTTCAACTACACATTGTCACAACCCTCACTTGCTGCCTATTCAGTAAACCGCATCAGATGTAAAAGGGAATTGTAAAGAAGGTCTGAATATTAGAGAATGCCCACTGCCTGGAAGCAGATGAGGTTGGAGAAGAGGAACAGGGAAAGCAGGTTCATTGAACAGTTCTCTGGCATGGAGGAACCCAAGTGGAATGAAGCATTTGGAGCAGTGTTTGGAACCAGTTGGAAGTACTGGTCTGAATTCTAAATTCACTGTAGGAAAGGATGGTTTTGTATCCTGAGAAGGAATGGGATGAAATGGCTTGAGTACTGGCAGGACATTTACACAACCACTGTATTGACGGAAAATAATCAGGGATTTGCAGAACTATACAGTCCTAGTTCAGCTGAATGAAATCTAGTTAGACGCTGCCCGAGAAGCTGAGCAGGGAAGGACAACATACCAGCAGAGAGAACTGAAGGCATTCTCTCATGGCACATTTACAAAATCAACCTTGATTATGACACTCGGAAAAAAAAAAAGTTTTACCTGTAAAACCACAGAAGTCACAATCAGTTTCTTCATCTTTCTGGACAAAAATCTTTTTTTCCTGAGAAAGTCAAAGGACAGCAAGGCAGAGACTAATTTCTACACACGTGCATGGAAGATGAAGTGAGGTTTGCTAGGCCTCATTTCTGGGCTGACACGAAAGTCAAGAGGAAAGTCTGAATGCACTTCGTCAGCTGCAGAAAAACAATCCAATAGCACAGGGCCTGCAGACTGTTCTGAAGTCACATCATGCACAGAAAGTATGTGAATATTTTCCTTCAGGAAGGACAAAGAGGAAAGGTCAGCAATGTTGAAAACTGAAACAAAAGTACAACTGGAGGCAGAACAGAGAAGCACCAAAGTATTGGAGTGCTCTGTTTAGAGAAATCCGTGGCTCTGACTTCCATACAAATGTGCATGGTGGAGAGCTTAATCACCAGGAGAGAGCTGAACAAAAGCAGGAAGCAGTGCCTTGCTGAAGTGTTTTGAAAATGGGCACCTTGAAGGACAGAACAAGAAAAACAGAGCAGACTAAAAGCCGTAGAGAGACACACTGTGGAGAATGAATTTTCTTGGGCTATTAGAAAATAACAGCTGCTCCATGACATGCATCCTTCAATACCTGCTGGAAACGTGAATCCCTCAAATAGAAAATGCATGAAGAAGAGCAGCCTTTGAATTAAACGTATGGAAGAGTAGTGCAGTTGGCTGAAGGGACCAGAAAATCTACTGGCTGTAGGGGGAGTTAGTGAGATAAGGAGATGTCTGGTGATACAATGAGGAAGAAATTCCAGCAAACTGGACACATGTAATAAGCAACATGAGCTCAGGCAAGAACTTGCAACCTACTGATCGATCTAGTTCAGTTCCTGGTACTGAAGTGAACCCAGTGCTATGGGACTCAGTATGCTCTGATCAGCTGTCCTCAGATCTTTTGAAAAGGGAAATTAAGAAAATAGATAAATAAATGGGATGTGTGAAGTAGAAAACAAAATGAGAGGGGAACAGAATACTTAATTTTTTGTGTGTAATTTTAATGGCCGCATATTTTCAAAGCAGACCAAGTCTGATTTGCTGAGTAGTGTGCATAAAACACAACTCATCCATAACTAAAGGAAAAATTATTTATGTCCACATTTAAATTTACTCAGCTGATATGTGGGAAAAAAAAGAGAGCTGTAAGATTGCACAGCTAAGAAAGCAACATTTAAGCTTGCCAGTCAATGGACACATTAAGTAGCAGCAGATTTTCCTATTAATCCAACATTTAAGCAATCTAAAGGAATTTCTGTGCTTCCTATTTAAATGTGAGGCTTAGACAGGACTGAAAAATTTTGCCTGTACATTTATTAGCATCCAAAAGGCATGTGTGCTGATAAATCTGTAGGTAAGAAATAATTATAGACAACCTTAATGTTTAGCTTCAGTATATAGAGATATGAATCAACCCGTGTAAAGGCACAGCATTAAAACACTTACAGTTTCCAAGATTAGAGACTATTACTGAAATTGCCACAAATTCCCTAAATACACTTAATAGCCAATATTCATTCAAATAAAGGTAATTCAGGAAATTGGAAAAGTGCATAAGATGATCAAATCTCTCATTCTTCCTACTGCACTCCTCTTATTTAGAGCAATTATTTGCACAAGAAAATAGCTGTATTCAGCTGAGAACACTAGACTAAGGGCAAGACCTCGAGTTACAGCACCATAAGCCACATGGGTGAATGATTGCAAGAATGTAAAAAATAAAACACACTGAAAGAAGTCACTGGTTTTGCTCAGCTCAGAGCAGAGGTAACCAAGGGGAGATCTCATGGTGGCCTACAGCTCCTCATAGGTAGTGGAGGGTCAGGCTGGATAATGGAAAAAGGTTCTTCACCAGAGAGCAGTGGTCACGGCATTGGCTCTCTAGGGCAGAGGGCGGCCCCAAGCTGCAGGAGCTCAAGGAGAGTTTGTACAATGCTCTCAGATGTAGGGTTTGAATTTTGAATGGTCCTGTGTGCAGTCAGAGGTTGAACCTCATGATCCTTATAGATCCCCTCTGACTTGGGATATTCTAAGTTAAATCCTTAGAATTTTTTCACTCACTTATGGACAAACTGCGAACAGGAATTACTGGCAGTATATGACTGCACATTGCTCTTAACGTCGATTTTGGTCCTTGACAACTGCTTATGTAACTAGTCAGTTCAGTAATGTTTGAGAGCAAGTTTTCATTAGTAAATCATTACCACTCAAGTAACCTTTGAAAGGAAATGCAAACTTTCTGGTGAGTATGTATGTGTTCATAGAGCAGGCCTGACAAAGATGCTGCAATCAACCAAGAACATACGAGAACAAGGGATAAAATTACTGTAATTTCCAAAACAGCTGAACTACAATTAGTACATTTCATGTCCAGAGAATGCCATGAAACATTTTTCTCTGTGTACTTTCTATGTGAAAAATAGTTCACAATATCTGTGCTATGTAGAGCTATCCAGAATCTTCAAGCAGCAGGCAAATAGAGGAGAAAAAGAGAGCTAAGTTCTGAACTTCAAAATTCATATCACACAGAAATCTTTCTGTAAACTGAAGGAGTAGTACCAGTACTCAGAGGCAGTATCTAGCCATTACCTTTTAATATGAATCATCAGTGTTCTCATTTCGTCAGGCAGGGGCAAAACAGAGCTCTGTCTTTGGAAGAATTAAGTCTATTCTAACAGGAACAACAGGATACTGAAGACTTCTTACCAAAGAATGTTTATTTTAGCCTCGGGAAGCAAAAAAAGAAGAAGCACAAGCATATTTGCACAGAAGGTAGCTATAAGGAAATGATAAAGCAACTCCCCGCTTCTTTCTTTACCTTGGACAAACAGCTCAGACCATTTCAGGATCCCTAGGTAAACATCAGAAAGTTCTAAGAGCAGATCTCTTTTATCATGATCTATTTTATTCAAGTCTTCAGGGCAGAATCTACTTTTAATATATTTGTAATAATTGTTTTCCTTGTTCCTGATGACAGTGCTTTCTTTGCAATTAGTTTTCTACCATCACTCCTAATGCCAAAATTTAGCAGTAGTTGACTTGATTAGAACAGTAGGCAACACAGGCTTCCTACAGAGAAATTTACAGATACAGTGTCTAAGACCCTGTGCTTCCAGCAGTATGATAAATATTCTGTTAGAAAATCCATTATCACCTTAGTACCTCCAAGCCAGGCTCCACTGAAATGCCTTTGGATTGTCAGGTTGACTTCTCTACATTTACAAATGCAATGACATTCAAGAGTCTTCAAGCCAGGAAATTCCAAAGGAAAACTTTCCTACTTTCTCCTACTGTATTGAAAATGACATATACTATCCAAGTACATTTACACACAGGAACATATACAATATGCACACAAACACATTTTCCTCAAGGTGGCTCTTTATACTACACAAAATTAGGATTGAAATGTTTGATGCAAACAGTGTAGAGTTTATGATGAGCTTTCATGAACCAGCAAAGAGGTAACTGAGGCTCTTCTGCCACTTCTGCTGGATAACAAGTCTCCCCAAGCAAATATGCACTGACAAACCATTCCACCCTACCCAATGTTTTAGCAGAAGTGAACCAATGCATTCACTAAGTGACCTGGGAAAAGCACAGAGACTGGGGAAAAGTCTTCACTAAAAAGAAAGCATACACTTTCATGGCTTTCTATGGCATAAAAGTGGTAATAAAGCATTGCTTTAAGAAGAATAAAAAAAGAAAGATAATCACTCTGATCTGCAGGAAATGTCATTTGTATTTCATGCAAGAAATACACTTTTTAAATCTGTCTGGTTTAAACATCTGTCAAATAATGGGACCATGTCCCTGTGCATCAGCTTTACACATAGGTGTCTCTTAACTCATCAGGGAACTCAGACAATTCAGCTTCAATTATCGGGCATGCAATTTTTAGATTTTTTTTCTTTTTTAATTAACTTCACAAGGTTCTCAAATTAAATTCTAAAAATTTTCAAGTTTCAATGCTACTGAAACTAATTTAAAAAACCAATTATTTTTAAAATATGACTCCCATTACATATTATATTTAACATATCAGATATAATAGATATGTCTAATTTATCTGTACATAAATGAGTTTTGAAGTGTCATTAATGTTGCACAAACATTCATTATGTTACTTGTAACACCTTAGTGTCTGTGAGGTCTAATCACAAGTCAAGACTTCCTGGACAATTAGGATAAAAGGATTCATTTGAAGGACGTATTGTGGAGTTTCACCTTATGCCACAGTAGAATCAATTTTTTCAGAAGCCCTCCAAAGCTGAGGCTTGATAGCAAACGCTCTCAGAGAGACACAGTAAAATTCTCAGTCATACAGTTGAATAGGAGACAGCAGGGCTATTCAGAAAGCAAAGTTTCAAAAAGAATCCTTTTCGCAAGAAGGTTTTCCTTTCTGGATACCAGTCAGCACAAGTAGCTAAGACCACATGAACAAAAAACACCAATAAAGGTGAGATACATCAGTGCAGAAGAAAATAAGAAAGAACTAGCTGCCTCGAGTAATAGACATTATATGTACCTCAGGGGTACAAACACAACACAAGGAACAGTTGAAATTGTGGCTCTAAGGTGGGAGTTATCAGCTAGAATTGAACAAGGAGGCTACAATCGTAACAGCTCACTGAATGATTACAAAGTGTGAGTGTGATACAGCCATGGAAAAGGCGAACAGCATCCTGGGCTGCATGCAGCGAATACCTCCTGCAGACAAAGCCACGTTTTAATGCTACTACAGTGAAGAGAGCTCACAGGAATACCTTCTACAATTCTTGTCATCAAAGTGCAAAATGCATTACTCCATCCTGGAGATTATTATGGGACAAGCTACCCTAATTTCCCAAATCTTTCAGTAGACTGTTTTACAAGATTGCTTGGTTTATATAGTCTAATAAAACAAAAGCTGTGAGGGGATATGACTGTAGTCCATAAACACAACCAGAGCGTTAACAATAAAGAAAAGAGCCTCTAAGACAGTGTTGCCACAAGAATGAACGGGCATTAAATATTCGGCGATAAATGCTGGATGGAATTCAGAAGAATGTTCTTAATGAAAGGAATCATATTCTGCAAAGAGCCTTCAGATCAAAGCGGTGGGAGGGTAAAAACAGAGGCGAGCTTTGAAATAGAAATAGGTATCTGCATTAAATGAGATGAAATGACATGCATGCCTGCTAATCACCAAGGACCAGGTGCAATGACCTTCTCCCTTCCATGCTAGTGCTCGTAAGCAATGTTTTTCCAGCCTACTTCTATCATGAACACTGGGAAAACTATAAGAACAATAAACCTTGGCTATAAAAGTACTTTAGCTATTGAAACAACTTTTAAGGGATTTTCTTCTTAAAAGTAACCTTTAAAACTCTAATAGCGAAGAAACAGAAGTAAGTAGAGGGGAGTAAAACAAAAGGCTGGATAGTGCAATGATAAACAGGGATAGTTCACTGCTTCTTTTGATGAAAGAACAGAAAGCTATCATATGAAAGAAGCCCATGAGAAGCAACAAAAAAAAAAAAAAAAGAGAAGTACCCCCTAACTCTCTTTAAGCAGATAAAGCCCACAGAAAGAGCCTGGAAAATTGATGACTTGTTCTTTACAAGACATGCAGTCAAGCTGAAGAATTTCTTGCTACGGGGTGTACTAGACGCCAAGACTTTACAGCATTAAAAATGGGGACACTTCTCAAGTCATCATTTGATTAACCCACTGAGACCTAATAAAAAAAACTTCTAGATCACTAACTCCCAAACTGACAGGTTTTGGAAGCTCAGAGTTTTCTGCAGTAGCTTCATATAGATATTAGTCTTGCTCCTATTTCTCTCACTTCATTCTTTGTCACCACTGGAAGCAGGATACCAGGCTAATTTACTACTGCTCAGATACAGCATTGCTGCTGTTGCATTGCATTCAGCCACAGGGCATAGTACAGGCTCATTTATCCCCACATTAGAAAGGATTTCAGTTTGACTTGAGGCTCAGGCAGAAGCCTTCTTTCTTCCCATTCTGCAGAATACAGCATGCAAATAAGCTTCATTTACAGAGCTCAGCGGAGGAACAATGGTTTTCCTGCATTTAATTTACTCCCTGCTCCTTCCCACAGGTTAAATTCAGAAAAATTCAGTCTCTTCCTGCTTTAAGAATTGGTGCATTCCTACCTACAAAACTTGCTTAAACCTTGCCTTGTCGTGGCTTTTTAGAATTCTGGGGATCAGTTAGAGGGGAAGCTGTACAGACCTGACTGAATGTAACAAATTCCAAGTAAGCAACACTGGCACACAGAACTCACCACATTTCATCATTCCCACTTCATAGCATTTCCGTAGCCGGCATGCCTGGCAGCTTTTGCGCCTGTTTTTGTCTATCGTGCATTGATTGGTAGCTGGGCAGATGTAATCATTATGTCCTGCAGCAGAGTAAAGGAGAAAAATTTAACATCCCACCAATCTCTCTTGGCTATTTCCCAAAGCAGGGACTTTAAGCATCTCATCTATTTCTTATCTAAGCTCCATTAATTTAAACAATGCAAAATCACATATTTGTCCTGTACTGAAAACATCGATCTATGGCTTTAAAATGCAACTAGAAAGGTCAGCTTTTACTGTTGACTGTTAGACAACCAAGCATCTTATAATACCAACACATTGTTGAAAACGAGACATACACTCTTGTGGAAATTTGCTCCCAGTCTAGAACACCTTACTCTATATTTGGTTTCTACAGACGGCAGAGAGCAGAATTTTTCCTCAGCACATTTGGAAACAGCAGTGCACACAACCTCAGTCTGCAAAGATTTAAGTAAACTACACCACTATTTACTGAAATCTCTGGCTTGGTGACTCCCAGGAACGAAGAAGCCTTTGGAGAACTGACCCTGATTGAAGTTATTGTTATGGTTGTTATTTTGAAATTAAAAGCCTGAGAAAGAAGAATGGCATAAATTAATGCATAGTGTACAAAACAAAGAAAATCAGAAGCACAAGGTATAACTTTCATATATTATCAACAAGTTTTTATTTGATTTGCACTAGCTGTCTTCCCTACTTCAGGTCTCACCCCACTTCTCCTCAGAATCTCTTTACGCTGTTGTATCTAATTAACCAACAAACTGGTTCAAAAGTTTATTCCTATAAGCTAGACCTGACTATCAAGTTGATCTAAATGCAACCAAACTACCTGTTGCCAAAAACTGTAGATCTCTCTTACAGTCATCACCAAAGAATACAAAAATATTTAATAATTTACATTTCTTAATTTCCTTTCTCTCAGGTCGTTTCTCTAAGTTATTTTTTTTAAACATTAAGAATGGATCAGACAAAGATAAAGCAGACTACAAATAGGGTGGTAGTTTGCTTGGTTTTGTGTTCTGCCTTGATTCATGAGCAAGTCCAAGAGCTCACGTCCCCAAGAGTAATTATTTAACTGAACCATTGTGACCATTTCCTTGCAAAATTAAAATAATTTTAACCTTGAATTTTTGAACCAACAGAGTTTTAGAAAGAAGAGATCAGGTTACAGTTTGTCCCATTTCCATCTGGGATACAACTGAAAAACAAATTACTGTTTATCACTCTTCACACAACACAGGGGGAAAAGGAAGAAGCAGCTCTCTGCTGCTCTATAACCTAAGCCCAAAGGAGCATAAAGTGGTTTAAAACTCCCATGTCCTTGAGATCGTTTATTTTGCAGGCAGATGTTCACAGATATGGAACTGATATACGACCAACGTAGGCAAGCAGGAGGCCACACACATTGCCCAGTCATAACGTTTAATTTCAATTCTGGGCCTCCCATAGGCCAAAAGCTAAATGCTTGCCTCCAGGTGGCCCATAACTTTTTGATTTTTATAAGCAGCATCCTTCATAACAGTGGTTGCAACTGAACACTCAATAGCGTTTTATGCCAAGAACTTTCACTTATTTGAATCACAAACAAATATTACCTGACAGGGTACATTAAGGTGTACAAAAGAACACAGTAGGCAACTTGTTCATGACCACAGCACGTGTGATCAGCACAGAGCAGGCAAATAATTTTCCTGACAGAAAACACTTTGAGACTAAATTCAGTCTCCATTTGTGATAACTGGAGACAAAGTTATCTTCAATTATTTTAAAAAGTCAAAAGAACTTTCACCAATTTGTAGAAATTGTTATTCACCTGCACCGAACTTGCACAATAAATCGGAAGGGCAAACTCGTTTTAAGTTTGATTCTAATGGTGACACCAACTCTGCCACATTGAGCCAAAAGAAAATACCTCAAGACTGCTGAAGGCCTCATGCAGCAAAGGAAGAGAACATCACAGAACAAAGAACAATAGAAGTTTCTGTGTTTGTATCTGTAGTTAGCATTCAATGTCAATTGCATTAAGTTCCACGAGGCCTCCGGACACGATGACCAGAGCCAAGGATAAGAAGCAGATGTGATACTAAGCTGGAATACAGTGCATAAGTCACTGCCTGTAGCCTGTGATAGCAACCATGGATGTAGATATTATATGCTATGACTCAACAGTTCCAAACAATATACTCTTGTTAGGAATAACGCGTCCAAAGACATTGCTTGTGAGAAGTACCTCCTCTGCATCTGCTATAACAAATTCACAATTACTGCATCTACTTTGCAACACAAAATGAAATCAGATTCATAGGTGTGCAGTGCCATCCCACTGAGGCTATTGCTGAAGGACTCTCCCATGAGTCCCCCTACGTGCTGCACCTCCTCTCTAAAGAAATGAATTGCTTGCTTTGTAATGTTTCCAGATGTTTACAACAGAAGAACCAAAAGACAAAGCAATCAAATCACACATTGTTCTACTTACATGCAGCACTGCACACCAGAATTTTAGATCAACACACTACCAGAGCAAGTGCTGCAGTCTCTGATGACATGAAAAACTTACTTAAGCTAAATCATCAAAAGCTGATTTTCCTACCTTGAATACTTCTTTTAAAGAATGCTTTACAGCCTTCACATGACCAGACTCCATAGTGATATCCTGAAGCATAGTCACTGCAGACTGCGCAGAAGTGGGCGTCTCTTTTTGAGCCAGGATTACTTGCAATTGGGCTTGTACAGTCATCACCATTAGTTCTTCTTTTTAATATCTCTCTGATAGAGAAGAAAGACGTTGTAAAAGGAAAAAATGAATCCAATCCCATTATAGCTATGTAAATCTAGCAAAGGATTTTATTATTTTTCACATGCAATGTGAACGAGCAGCTCAAAACATTAGATTTCTGTTCAAGGTGACCACCAATGCTGACTCCTGTAACAGTGGAAATGAGGAATAAAAGGAGGTAAGAATACAAGGATAATGAAGAAACATCATCAATCAAATGATTTCATGTATCAGAAAAATACGTATTGCTCTGCATAAATTAATAAGATGCATTTCTGAAGTGCACCAAGTTGTTCCAACTTATTGGAATTATTCTTTGGAACTCAATTAACATTAGAACAGAATAAAAACATGGAAGAACAACCAACTTTTGACACCAAGATCCAGTAAACAAACAGAAAGAGAAAAGGAACTCGGATCATCAGTAAAGCAAGTTTTAGGCATAGGAAGGACATCCATTGTATACTTCTCTGGACACCATTTTCTTGATAGTTTTAGCATATCTTACCTTCATGTCAGTACAGTATTTGAGCTAGAGAGAAAATATTGTCACATGCATACTCTCAGTATCAGCTTGACAAAAGGAAAGCTGTGCAGTGAACTTAAAGGTATGTATTTAAACACAGAGGCTTCTCATGCAGAGTTCTCCTCATGCTCCCTTCCAGCAGTATTAAAGAGAAGAAACATCAGCTGGAATGAGACAGCAGGTTGCCCAGTTTGTGAGACTTCTGAAGAGCAAGGGTACACCTCCAGAGTAGAAATCTGCTCACCAACAAGAGCAAATTTAAACAGAATGGTGGAAATATGTTGAAATTGCTGTAATAGAGACTTTAATCAACACATTAAAAGTAGACTTTGTGCTGGGTTCGTGACAGGAAGTAAGGACCAAAACACCTACATGCCAATGAAAAAACTCCCAGGTCACAAGAATTTGAGGACAATGTTCTCCAGTTTTCTAATAAACGCTTTGGGAAAAAAAAAAAAAAAAAAAAAAAAAAAGTTACAGTACTTATCATGGAATGAAGTTACAGCAAGATTTTTTTAAAAGTTCATTTATCCAGCTGTTACAAGGAATAAAGGTGTTTAGATATTTAATGAGTCTGGTCGATGACACACATAAGCTAAAGGATTTCTGAATCACTGACAAATTTCCCCCTCTGCTACACTGGGATGATCAATGTGGGGAAAAGCTCCTTTAGAATAAAGGTACTGTATCATGCACACATCCCTAACAAGTTGCTAAAGCAAGAAGGAAAATACATTGCTACTCTTTTCTAGTTCCCTGTGTTTGGGAGAAAAGCAGTTTGGCTTTCACATCAGTATCAGAGGTTGCTCTACTTAAGAATCAAGATCCAATTGTTAGAATCAGAAGAGAATCCAGATCAGTTAGAGAGCATCTCAGTGACTGACTGTTAATCCGTAGCAAACTATGTTTATTGCCCTCGTTAAGACACAAAGCTGCTCCAGATGACAATAAAGAAACAGTACAAACTGCAACATCACACAAAAGAGTGCTGCTTTTTACCTGCCAGTCATCACAAGTGCTTCTTTATCTGCTTAAAAGTTTAGCTGCAGCCACTCTGCACACATGCAAACTACGTGACTTCTGCCTACTGCAGTGAACAGCTTGCAGGAAGAGCAACAATCTGGAATGCATCCCTCCCACAGGCTCATCGGGCATCAAATCTGCTCATCAGCAATAGCTGTGGCAGCACAGCGGGAGGTTCGAAAGCAATTATTTTGTTACTGGTGTCTTTATGGACAAGAGAGCTAGGAAATAGAGAGTTTTAACTTATGACATATATGCACATTTCCCCAAGGACACAGCAATCAGGCAGCTTACCCAGACAAACAGCCTCATGCACGGTTAGAGGTCACTTCTCAATGTACACAGGACTGATGCACTCAAGCACACTCAACAGAAAAGTGATCTGCTAGGTCCTCCAGAAAAACTGGTAGGTGGCTGTGTGCCCACAGTGCTCCTGCACCAAACCATGCAGAAAAAAGGGGGATGTACCCCGGCTGCAATTGAGGAGCTGCTTGGATGGAGATTTATTGCTTTACATCTGCAGGAGGTCCTCTCTATTTTTGATCGTAGTTTCCATATAGAATCACAGGATCATTTGAGTTGGAAGGGAAGTCTGAAGGCCATCTAGTCGAGTGAACAAAGGCACCACAGCTCGATCAGGTTGCCCAAGGCCTTATTCAATCTCTAATTGAAAGTCTTCAGGGTCAGAGAGAGAAATATAGTATTTTTCCATAAAGAGAATTAAGATTTTTTTTTTTTTTTTTTTTAATGTCACAACTCCATGATTTTCTAATGATCCTCATTTGCCCCACCCCTGGAGATGTTCATGCCAGGCTGGATGGGGCCCTGGGCAACTTGGCCTGGTGCCTGATGTAGTGGTTGCCTATGACAGGGAGGTGGAACTAAATGACTTTTGAAGTCCCTTCCAACCCAAGCCATTCTATGGTTCTATGATCAATGGTGACAAGATGATTAACCTGAAGGAGAAGGAATCAGCAAGACTATTCAGGCTATTCAATATCTCTCATCTCTCTTAACTTGTTGTAGATTTCATAGAATATCCCAAGTTGGAAGTGTTTGATGCAGATGTCACACTTGGAAAACCTGAGCCGGGATTCAACTTTTTATTAAAAATGAATAACAGTGGCAAAGATCTGGCCTGTCAGTTAACAAGATTTGCTCCTGGCAGTCATTATGAACCATGATTTTTTTGTTCTTTGTTTGTTGGTGTTTGTTTGTTTGTTTTTTAAACCTAAACTATTGTGCTTTAAAGAGAGAACAAAAATAAAACTGAGAAAACAAAAAAGCAAAAAAATGATGAAGCAAAAAATTAACAGTCCAGATTTTATCACTTCTTAATAGGATTCCCTCCCACAAGCCACTGGCTCCTTCATTCCCAGGAGATGATTCAATCTTACACGAATGTAAACCGTACAATGACAAAGGCTGAGGGTTCATCACTTCCTGTGCTCAAGCTCTTGCCCTGGTTAGTGCACCATAAGTCTAAGAAGAGTGTTAGCAATTGGAGCAAAAGGCAGTCATTATTTGAATCTCTTCCTTTCTCCCCTGACCATGAGCAAAATGCTGTGCAAAAGTCAGCTGAAGAATCATTTTCAACTTTTATTTTCCTCAGCTTCTAGGGACAATCTCCACCACAACTTCTGGAAGCACCAATACCACATAACTGTGAATGTTTCTATCTCCAAAGCACAGGTCCCCAACACTGATTAACATACCAAAAATGATGCCACAGGTATTAAGGGACATTTTTGCTCTAAACTTGTAACTGCATCATAAAATTGAAATGCCAGCCCATCACCTCAAAGGAACCTCAAGATATTTCCAAGTGCCCTACAGATGGGCATGATTTAAAATAATTAAAAGAAACAGCATAGGAGGATAACAGAAATAATTACGGCTTCAGAGCAGAGCTTGGACAATGTATGAATACAGTATTGGGGCACAGTGGGCAAGAAACTGACTTATTTGTATATAACTCAAGCAAGCATTGCTGGCCTGCACAAACCATTCATGTACGATCAGAAGCAGAAGGAAAACAATGGAACAGAAGATGTTAAGAGGAGGAAATTAAATTCCAGAAACATCTCTGGCAACCTTCTTAATGTTTTCCAGTACTTGTGAAAAAGACATATCTATCCATTTTAAAAATAAATCTTTTGTTTCTTTAATTAAAAACAATTTAGGAGATGAAGGCAGAAATCAATTTCAGATGCCATGCCAGATTATTCTTAAATGTTATATAATTACATTCTCACATTTCTTTTCTCTTCATGTCATTTTACTATAGATGGATTGTATGGAAACACTGGACCAACAATGAGGCTGTTTTTGTTATTTTCACTACCTGCAGGACATATAATACAGATACACATAGCAAGGTCTGGAGCTTGCATCACCAAATTATTACCATTTTATGCAAAAACATAAATATATATATATATATATATATATATATATCAGCTCTACAAAGGCTCTAGAAAAAGCTCATGTTTATTTTTCCTTGGAATACTGCAAAAAAAAATTTTTGTTGAGCTACTGCTACAGATTAACACTGCTAAATCAAAACGTTACGCAGTGCAGGTTAAATAAATTTCTTCATATAAAGAACTTATTTGCAAGGATAGGAAATGTGTAGAATTCAGGTTTCTTATTTTAAGCTGATCTACAAGAAGTTCCAAATTACACAAGATCAGTCACAGCAAAGCAGCCCTCATTAGTACAGCAAATATTAACTGAAGTTTACACCCAGGTTTACACCCACCAAAATAAAGCCCCCTCACACTGAGACTCTCTCTTTATTCCTAAAGATAAAAATGAACTGTATAATAGCCCTAATTATGCACTGATCATAGGATGGCCTGGGTTGAAAAGGACCACAGTGATCATCTAGTTTCTACCCCCTGTTATAAGCAGGGTCACCAACCACCAGACCAGCTGCCCAGAGCCACATCCAGCCTGGCCTTGAATGCCTCCAGGGATGGGGCATCCACAGCCTCCTTGGCAACCTGTGCCAGTGCCTCACCACCCTCTGTGTGAAAAACTTCCTCCTAATATCTAACCTAAACCTCCCCTGTTTCAGTTTAAAACCATTCCCCCTTGTCCTATCATTATCCATCCTTGTAAACAGTTATTCCCCCTCCTGTTTATACTGATGTTTTTTCTTACTCATCATTCAACCAACTCCCTTTTCTTCAACTACAATGTTGTTTAAAATTATTTATGCCTTGCAACGTTAGTCTCTCCCTTCCCCCAGAGCTATTCCTGTTTCAATCCCAAGAATTCTTCCTTAAAGGTATAATCTACGAAGATGTAGTGTCACAGTCATTGTTCCCATGGCAATAAATAAGATGTTCATGACATTGAAGATCTCGCCAAAAGATGAGGAAAAGTACATTTTATCTCAGGCCATGTAGCCACAACAGGGAATTGCAATTCCTCCTTTATGTGTTTGCATGTTGAATTATACATCATTTTTTACAATTTCTAAAGACAAAGGAGGGGTTACAATGCATCATACTAGGACAAATGAACCATTGGAAAGGTCCAGCTACCAAATAATACAGTGATTGCTTGCTCCTGAGAGATAAAAATCATCCACAAATTCAGATATCCAATTACATTGATTTCTCTGCTTTAAATACAGTCATAAATACAGTCACAACAGTCCATAAGAACCCAAACAGCAGAAGACTTGAACACCAGAGGTACAGGTTTACTTTTAAATAGGAAGCCACAATGCAGAGTGTCAGAAGGTCTGCTCTTGCCATTGGGTTCTTCCACTTGGCTTGGTCCACTATCTGGACAGTCCAGAACACTAACCTAGATCTGTTTTCCCACTTTCTCAGACCTATCTGTTTTGAAACGTTAACCAAAGCGGGAAGAGTTTGGATGATAACCCCATTCACCTGCTCAAGGAATCCCTTTGTATGCTGGTGCTATTTAAAATAGCCTGTCCCAACTCACACACCTAACACCTGAAGCAGATATGCACTCCAGAACTGCCTCTTACTCTTCTACTCCAAAGGCAGACTATTCAAGTGGCCATCCTGAAGATTCCTGCAGTCCACAAGTCTGAATTAGACTTACATTTTACACCTTACTGCTGGGCAAACAATATAAAATCCATCCATTGCAGAAGGGATGTGGGTAGTAACAAAATTACTGACAATTGAACTACAGCCAGGACATGCTATTTTTCATATCGTCAATGACTGAAGTTAAATAAGGAGCCCTATGAACAAACACACAGTGAGTAAAACAGGAATTGCCCCTGCAACACCCTCTGCTTTTATGCATAAAAAGCTGTTGTGAACATGAATGGAATTATTTTGTCAGCTGATGATGCACGCACTTCTCATCGCATGTAACATCGGGGTCTGCGCAGCATGAAGCAACATTTTTGCAAATTCACTTCTGAGAAATTCAGCCTGTGAATCTGCTGCTCACACTGCCTTAATGAAAAGCCAGTTCAGAACAGCAACAAGAAGTGTCAGACTTTTTCTAACCACGAGGCGTGTTGCTGTGTGGCTGTTAATTCTCAAAACAAATTTAAAAAGATAAACTTCCCTTTTGCTTTTATAAAAGTCTTTATAACTATTTGATGCAGAAAAAAAACAAACCCACAGGAATTCAAACAACACTGTAGGAAAAAAAAAAAATAATAAGAGCCTTTACTCCTTTCACCTGAAAGGACTTCAAAATAAATTCTATTTCCTAAGTTATATTAAAAAAGCAATGGCAAAGTAACCGGAGCAAATTGGTGCTTGGTGGGGTTTTTTCTTTGTTTTCCAGATACACAGAAATACAACGCTTTTAAAAGTAATAACAAAAAGACATAAAGGTACTAAAGAAGCTGTAATTAACTGTTAGGAAAGTTCTGAAGAAGTGAGTGGCACTCACCTGGTGACGGGCAGCACTGGTTCAAGAGGTCTCACTTCGCACCACGGGCTCTTAGGCTGCTCTGCATACAGAAGTGATGACTGACAGTGCAGTGTCAGAGGGGAGAGGTGGCCAGGAGCAGACCATAACATGTTTGGGCTCGATGTTTGCCTCACAGATGTACTCTCAGAATCACCAAAATTGCTGGCTATGTTGTAATTCATCACGGCAGGACTGCAGAACGCCACTGCAGAATATTCATGCCTGTTTTCCACATAAGACGAAGGGATGTAGATTGGACTGTGTTCTGTTGTCAATGCAGACTGATTACAGCTGTAGGGAACTGGAGAGCCAATACCAGCAGGTGAGTTTTTAATTTCTGTCTTATTGCATCCAACATCCTGAAGTGGCAGCAACTGAGAAAAGTCCTTGTGAGAAGACGCACAGAGGGACATTTTGACTCAAGACCAAAGGTTGTTTAAATATTCATCCTAAGAGGTTAAGGTGGAAAAAACAACAACCGTGAATTAAAAACTAAGAAAGCTCTGTCTTAAGTCTTCTCTGTAAAAGATATAGAGGAATTCACAAAACAGAAAGCACTGAAAACATTCTGCAAAAACAGATTACATACCAAATGTACTTAAACAGAGAACGTTCAAGTTTGCTACCTTTATGAAGCAGAAAGTTTTCTAGAACTTCCTTAAAATAAAGGCGACAACACTTGTTGAGTTCAAACATCATTTAAAAGTAATAACACAAAAATGTATAAATTGAAGCCTGAAACAAAAATGCATGTGACAGCTGGGATCCTAAGCAAAGCAATTCACTGCAACCAGGGTAAAGCTGCTCCATGTCAGTGGCAGAATTACCCCGTGGTGAGTAATTGTGGAATAAGTGTCCTAAGAAACCAATTACCTTCAAAGAAATTCACCACCTCCTTCTTCTCCCACCGCAAGTGCACTACTGAAGTATCAGCCTTCCTGTAGCAACACGAGTGTGTAAGAGGTGTTTTGGAACACAGATAGACAGACTTTACCTTTCAAAATCATAACTTTGCTGCACATCCCTCTCCAGAGAGGGAGAAAGATGGGATGGACATCAATAAGCAACTCTGTCACTGAAAGGTACTTGGATACAGCACCACTGAACAGAGCCATTATAAAAGCAGCTGTCATGAAATGCAGATGTCACAAAGTGCAGGAATTTCTGAGTTGACAAAGAGGAATTCAAGCAAATCCATCAGGCCAGGAAGTTTTATAGTTTCCTGGCATCCTGCACTGCCTTGGGAATAGGTGAACGGTTGGACTGGATGATCTTTTAGGTCTTTTCCAACCTTGGTGATTCTATGATTCTATGATTCTATGCCTTTACTGCCACTCTTCATTCTTCCTTCCATCTGAACCAGCAACCAAGGGACCCTAATACACCCGCAGAAACACTATCTGCCATATTTAGGTATATCTAAATTATTTAAGGTAAATGAAAAAAAAAAAAAAGAAGGAAAAAAATGGAAAAAAGAAAGAAGCCACCAAAACACCTCCTAAGATATAAACCCCATCCTGGAACCATCAGTTTAACAGCAGCATTTAAGAATATTTAAATTTCATTCTTTGTTGTGGGCTTCATGTGCAATTCATTCAAGTTCCAGTTCCCAGAAGTGATACTCCAGCACACTTCTACAGATGGCAATAAGAGATTAACATGAAAAATCCTGGAGTAAATAAGAAGCCACCCACACTTTTGCTATTCCAGAAGTGACCGAAGTATGGCTGCTAAATATTCTTACCTTTTTTCATCTCACACAACCATAAAATAAAAGGATAAAGATTCAAACATATGTTTCCTGAAGCAGCAGCTACCTCGCTGTCCCAGAAATTCTCTGTTAAATGGCATTCCTAGTATGCCATCTTGGTGTACTGATATATTTCCTCACCTAGAGACGGGACTGATGGTAGAAGCATCACCAAAAAACATGAGAAAAATCATGAAAAACATGAACCAAAAAACAAAAAACAAAACAACTTCCTGAATAAAACTGACAGTTTAGGGCTCTTCTCACTTCACATTCCATTGATGAAACTGAAGATACACAGCAAAGTAACGAGGAACTCATTCAAATCATCTTAGGCACTTCAGACCCAGCTGCTGTTTATTCCTTTGTGGGAAACAGGAAAATGAATTATCTCAGCAGTGGTTCATATCCAGCCGTTGTTGCACTGGAACTCCGATGCAGCCAAAGCAGGAGAATGTGACCTCATTTTTCATACAATCTACATGCCTTATGTGCCCTTGCCAGAAACTCCTGTTTCCCTTAAGAGCTCAAAAAGCACTGAAAATCTCACATGTTCTTTTGCTTGCATTTTATGGACAGCCTAAATAATTTTTGAGCAGAAAATGATGGAACTGAAAAATCAGATTGTTTTCAGCAGTGGTTATTTTCATAGTGAATACTACAAATCTGTCCAGTGAGTACATAGAATTCAAAATGTATTTAAAGCTTCCGTGTAGGTAAAGCAGAGTACCACCTGGGATCTTAGTGATACTCCACAGGAGCATCCTTCAGCGTTACCCCAAATCCTTCTGAGAGAAGGACCTGAGAGGCATTACAATGACATCTCTGTTACGATCACCTAAAGATGTTCTGCTAAGATACTGCAATAGCTTTGGCAGCAGGAACTGGCTGTACAGTTTCCCTCAGGAATGCAGAAAATGCATGCACGCATGTATAAGCAGAGGGAACATAGAGTTGGTACTAAATAATGCCACGAATCCAAATCAGAGGCAATCCACTAGAGTGATAGGGAGGATAGCTGCCTACTTAGCAGGAGGCTTTATTCTCTCCAAAGAACAGCAGGCAGTACTTAGAAATATACAGAGGACTTAGAAGCAGCACAAGTCAAGTTTCAGAGGGAGGAGACAATGCAAACATGAGGAGTTCATACAGCCTTCCTCCAAAACACACAGCTCGTGACTTTGTTTTTCTTTACTTTACCAGAGAAGGGACTTTGGGTTCCAGAAGGCTAAAGAAAATAGTCTTCATCAGACTTCAATATAACAAATAAACTACAGTAATGGCTTAAGATAATTAACTTGATTAGCAGAAATTGTTTAGCCATGGATGTACATGAGATCATATTGTTCATACACCCTTATACTCAGAAGATTCAGAACAGGAAGCCCAGAGCCTCACAAACAAAGCAAAGTTGCAGAAACCATTCAGAACTGCACAGAAACCTGCCCAAAATAACTGCTGGACTGCAGAGCTTTACTTCTTGAGAAGGAACTGCAGATTCAGGTAACCAGAGCTTAAGATTCAAGTCTACAGAAAACAAACTCCACTAACATCAGTACCTCAGAAGGAATCACTAACACATTTAAGCTGAGGATCACAATAAGAAGTCGCAACAGGATAAGTTTGTCCCATTTCAGTATGATGCTTTCTTATCTTAAACACTATTAATTAAACTAAAATTAACTACTCTATGAACCAAACTCCTGTCCCAACTTCTCTTCCTTCTCTGAAGAAAGGTTTTTAAAAAATCAAAGGTCAACTTTAAGTACATTATTTAGATCCAATCTATCAGCACTGCGCTAGATCTGTACCAGGCCTAGAAACAAAACAGGTATCCATTATCTATAGAGTACAGCCTTCTTGACAGCAAGTGTTTCAATCAAGTCAGTTTAGCTTAGAAAGGTATGAAGCAACTGAAATGCCACAAAGAAAATAACCAGTCTGGCCAGTCCGGTCCAGCAGCGCTTACCATTCACTAATATAGCACATAAAGAGCAGCATCCAAATCTGACGTAAGACAAAGTTCCATGGGTTCCAGTATGCAAAGGGACCACTTTCCATGAGTATGCAGGAGCAAAAATGTGATGTTGTCAATGTCATCCACAAAAAAGTGAGGCTTCTGCTCTTGAAATAGCTCTACATATTGAATTCAGTGTATCTTGACAATCACCATGCAGTGAACACCAGATCAAGCACAAGAATGCTGGTTTGGATGTCATAGTCAAACAGACACACGGGTAAATAATTAAGCCATCTGACCTACTGGAACAATCTCAAATGGGTATCTACATCCAAATGTTGGTAACTGCACATTATATACACCAAATACCTTTTTGAAAGCCTTCCACAAAATAGCATTAGAAAGGGGTAAATAAAGGGAAGAGAGAGCAGGCTGCCACACTTTAGAGCTTGATTGGAAAAAATACAATAGCTTTTCCTAGAAAAACACAACAGTCTGCAAGTAAACTTGGATATTCTCAGGCACTATTTCATCAGCATAAATAACAATGTGCTTAGAATTTTCCAGGCAAGACACGTATTTTGAACAATTTTTTTCTTGTCACAAAGATGATTTCTTTCTCTGCTAGGTTTCAGTTAAGGCATAATCGTTCTTCCTTCCATTTGAGTACATGTGATTCAGCAAACATGCATTCCACTGCCCCACAGCATGAGCCTCTCATCTTCTTGGAAAGCTTTGTATTAATATTCTGCTAAGTTAAACTTTGTGCATCTCATTGCAAAAACAAACGAAAGCATCTTCGCAAGAACGGATCATTAAAGCAAAGTCACTGCTGATGCATAAAATAGCTCTTATGCTTCGAGTTTTGTGGATAACTTATTACTCATTAAACACAGCAGTGCAAGATACTGCCAACAGAAGGCATGTGAGCAAACAGGTTTATTATTTATTACCTGAGTTACACTATAAGCAACAAGTAGGGGGTAGAAAGGAAAGCAAAAACAAATAAAGCTCTTTTCAGATCCACGCCTGCAAAACAGCAGCCTGTTTCCAAAGAGATCAAGACCACCTCTGAAGAAAATACTGAAGATCAAAACCATAGGGGCAGGAATGCTTTGAAACATTAAAAGAACTCAGCACCCTTTGCCCTGTTTTAGCCTTTGTGTTACTGAGAACACTGACAACTTTCAGGTTATACTAAACATTCATAAATATTTCAGGGATCTGGTGCATGACACAGACAGGGACCAAAGGAACCAGGTTTGGTCCTGAGAGAAACACAAAACTGAAGGAGGGCTGAATTACAGTCTTCTACTATCTGAAGTGGAGTTACAAAGACTAAGCAAGATCATTAAACAGTACACAAATGAGAACAAGAGATTAGTCACAAGTCCGAGCAAGAGAAAATCTGGTTGGACATATGAAAATGTTCTCCACAATGAAAACAATTAAGAAAAGGAACAGGATATTCAGGAAGGCTGTGAAATCTTCATTTTTGGGAACATTAAAAAGAGAAGAAAAAAAAAAAAAGGAAGACTGAAAAGAGGCTGAAAATGGCCCTGAGCAACCTGACCTCACTTGAAGCAAGATATTGGATTCATTGCTCTCCAGATACTCCTTCTCACCTAAATTTTTTTACGACTATGTTCTTTCACTACTAGAGGCATTCGTAGCTGAGGAAGTTCCATTTTACTTGTGCTGGAAAAAGAGAAGAATGACAAACGATAATTACCCAGGAC